TGTTGGCTCCTCTTTAGAACTAGTTCTTTTAAAATTCTGATAGAATTTGACAGTGAATTCCCAAATTCTGAGATTTTTTTGGCAATGAAACTCGTTACTATTTTAATCTCATTACTTAATGTGTACCTTTTTATTGATATTTTTAATTATATCCTTATGATTTAGTTTTGGTAGGTCATATATTTCTAGAAATTTACCCATTTGTTGCAGATTTTCCAGTATATTTTAATGCGTTTTCAATTTTTCCTAATTACCCTGTGGATTATTGCTATTTGTCACAGTGTTTCCCTTTTTTTTGTCTTTAATTTTATTAATCTCTCTCTCTCTCAACTTTGGTTAAGAATTTATCAATCCTGTTCATTTTTTCAAAGAACATTTTTTTTGTTAAATTGTATGTTTTGTTCTTTGATTCTCTTTTCATTAATTTCATCCTTATTATTTTTTTACATCTACTTATTAGGGGTTTGGCTGATTCTTGTTTCCCTAAGACCTTAATGTAAGTTACTAAAGTCTTTGAGATCTCTCCAATTAACATTTTAATTATGAGCAGTTATAAATGTTCATCTTAGAACTGCCTCGGTGGCATCTTAGAGGTTACAGTAAGTTCTGATTTTATTTTAATTTTGTTGCAGGAATTTTTTTTTAAAAAAATCCTTGATGGATATTGTTTTCTTTAATCAACCCATTGACCATTTAAAAATATGTTGTTCAATCTCTAAGTACTTGTATAGTATTTGTGATTTCTCCTTCTATTGCTTTCTAGTTTTATTCCATTATGATCTGATACATGAGATTACTTGAATGCTAATTTGGAAGGATTTCCATGTGCTTTTGAGAACAAAGCCTATCCTACAGCAGCTAGATGGCATAGTCTGTAATGTGTGCTGGGTCCATTTGGTCTATGGTGCAGATTAACTCCAAAGTTGCTTTGTGGACTTTGGTCTGGATGATCTACCTGTTGGTGACAGTGAAATGCTGAAGTCACCACTACTATTGAATCAGGACCCAGCGGTTCTTCTATGCCTCTTAGTATTTCTCAAAACTGGGAAGCTCAATGTTTGATGAAAACTTATAATACTTAAATTTGTAATTTTTCCTTTTCTTGTGTTGCTTTTTTTCATCCTGTGAGACAGGCTCTAATACACTTCAAACTCACTATTTGCTTGAGACTGGCCTTAAACTCCCAATTCTACTCTCTCTGCCTCCTAAGTGTCATAATTACAGATGATTACAGCTGTGTACCACCATATCTGGCTCTGTTACATTTTCTTCATGGGTTGTTTCTGTTATTAACACATAGGTGCTATCTTTATCTCTTCTGGATAATTTTGGTTCTGAGTTAATTTTATCAGATCAAGATGCTTATGCCAACTGGGTTTAAACTTACACTTGCTTTGATAAATTAACTTCCATAGTTTCCTTCTTAATCTCTGTCTTTGCTAGTGCATTGTTTTACTAGGAGACAATGGATAGTTTTATTTTTCTCTTTTAACCCAATCAGCTAATTTTCATCTTTTTTGTTTGTTTTTGTTTTTGTTTTTGTTTTTTTTTGTTTTTTGAGACAGGGTTTCTCTGTGGCTTTTGAGGCTGTCCTGGAACTAGCTCTTGTAGACCAGGCTAGTCTCAAACTCACAGAGATCCACCTGCCTCTGCCTCCCAAGTGCTGGGATTAAAGGCGTGCACCACCAATGCCCAGCTTAGTTTTCATCTTTTAATTGGAAAGTTAAGACCATGCAAATTTACAATTTTTATTGATAGAGGTATTGTAGTTTCTGTAATTAAAAAATAGTTAAATGGTTGTTCTTTTCTTTCTCCCCTATTGCTGACGCATGGAAAGGTTCTCCAATCATGATTATTTGGAGTTTTAAACTATCTATACTTATATATTCATTTCTTTCCCTAGACTTGGAGAATTTTCTATGATTTCATTGAATTTTCTATGACTTTAGTTTCAGCTTCATATACAACACAGTCTAGGGTAGATTTGGTCTGTTTATATTCTGTAGTTTTTCAAATTTATAGCCATGATAATTTTTAAGTAGTTGATATTTGAATGCAGTATTTCTCTTTCCTTTCTACCACCCCTGGTGTGTTTTCTTCTGTTTGGTCAAGTCTACTGGTGATACCTTTCCCTTTGCTTACTATTTGATTAGTTGTTTTCAATTTCCAAATTTTCTCTGTTTTCACCCTCCCACATCTCAGTTTTCTAGTTTGCATTTCTTATCCATTTTTGCTGACTTTTTCAGTTATGTTTCTGGGTCTACTCCTCAGGTCTTTAATTGAGTTTTTCTTTTATATCATTGATTATTTTTATAAGTAAATATATCATTTATCCATCTGGCATTGTACCCATTTCAATGTCTTTAAGGTTTTGTTTTGTTTTGTTTTTAAGATTTTATTTATTTATTTATTATGTATACAACATTCTGCTTCCATGGATATCTGCACACCAGAAGAGGGCACCAGATCTCATAACGGATGGCTGTGAGCCATCATGTGGTTGCTAAGAACTGAATTCAGGACCTCTGGAAGAGCAGTCAGTGCTCTTAACCTCTGAGCCATCTCTCCAGCCCTGTCTTAAAGTTTTAAGGAGTTGTGGTCTGGAGGGGTCATGTTGCCTTTCCTTTTCATACTTCTTGCATGTCTGAGATTAGATTGAGCATATGTTGGTTTGGATGTCTCTTCCACTTTTATTGGAGCATATAAGTGAGTGACTTCTTTTTGAGTGCTAATTTCCAGTACCATTCACAGGGAGAAAACTGCTATAACAGCAACAACATCAAACTGAACAAAATATAGAAATGCACTTACAATTTGTTAAAGCCTAGTCATCCAATGGTAACCATAAAACAACAAATGGAAGAAGTAGGGTAGAACATGTGGTAAAGTCACATATCACTGGGTAAATATAGAGATACTAGCTGAATGAGATGAAGTGTTAGGAGAAGGGGGAAATAAGAAGAAGAAGAGTAGAGAAGAATGTTACCAAGAGGAAGAGGAAAGTTCATTGACTTAAAAATATTGCCCAGTAATGGAAAAATACATAAGCAAAGTTAATGTTGGAGTGAAAAATCAAATGTAAAACCTTAAAAAAAGATAAAGTCAAGGTAATACTAAAAAAAATATAGTGAAAAGGAAAGGAGTGGGCAAGAGAAAAAAGGAAATAAAAGGCTTGCGTGTGGTGATGGTTGTTGTTGGTGACTAACTTCAGAGAACCTAGAGACAGCTAAGGAAGCAAATCTGTGTGTATGTAAGGGAGTTTCTAGTTTGGGTTAATTGAGTCAAGAAGACCACCTGAGGATGGGCAGCAGTATTCTGTGGACTGGATTCCTAGACTAAACAAAAAGGAGAAAGTGAAGTAAATACTAGCATATATAACTGCTTCCTGACTATGGATGCCAAGGACCAGATGCTTCACACATCTGCTGCCATGACTTCATGACAGGCTGCCATGCTTGGCTGCAATTTCTGTGAGCTCAAATGGCTCTTCCTTCTTTAACTGACTTTTATCACTTATTTTGTCACACAATAAGAAGAGTAACCAATATTCACGCATCAACAAAATCAGAGGAATAACAAAAATGTGGAAGTTTCTCTCTTAAAAATAAAGATAAAGTAGAACACTGCTAAAACCCCAGTAAAAGTAAGAGAGAAACACAACAATAAAGGGGATGCTGTAGTGGCTTCCTTTGGGGTCCTCTACAGCTGGAGTCTGTAGAAAGGGACAATCAGTTGAATTTGTACACTCTTGTCTGTTCTGTGGTTTATGATGGTGCTGAGCCAGCACATGTGTTGGGAGTCTTCCAGAGCTGTCTTCACGTTAGTGTCTTTTCTTCCTCATGCACCACGTGATTCTCCTAGCCATATTAACCATGTATCTTTAACCTGGCCAGGTTTGGGCATCTTCTGAAAGATGCCTCAGTTTGTACACTCTTGTGTGGCTAGTGTTCTAGACAGGAAACCCCCAAGTGTACTGGTAGTGGGGAGAGCAAACGCAGCACTGCAACATTTACAGGTGGCCCTGTCTCCATTCTTTCCTGCCAGAGAGATGTGGCTGAAGATGTTAGGTAGTCCTCTGGAGGTTGAGAGTACTTTCTACCTAAATGAACCTCGTGACAGATACAATGCTCTGTCTCTAGGTGTTGACCTAACTGTTGACTTCAGGCTTGTGTTTATCAAACTCCAAAATTCCTAAATGATGAGGTTGGATTCTAGACACTAATGTTGGCACTGCATCCCCCTTGTGCATCTCACTTCCTGAGCCAAACCTCCTGCCCACCTGCTTCTCAGTGTCTGGCTTTTCCACTTTCTGAGGCTGCCTTCTGGATCTGTCTTCATGTTGGGACTGTATGATTGATGTCAGACTTTCTAACTCCCATTTTCAGATCCCCAGGGTAGCTTAGTTTTAAATATTGGGTCCCCTTCAAGTTTTTGCCTAACCATAGACGTCTGAACCAAGGGGTAGAGTGTACAGTGGAACTCTCCTCCAGTGCTGACTTGACCCACTGGTGGAGTCATTCCGTCTCACGGAAAACTACAGCTGGCTTTGAATTTTGTGAGAACTGTGGGCAACCACTGTTTAAATGGAGTTTCTGCCTCCCCTACTCCACATTGTAAAGCCACTGCACTGGAGCTGTGTGAAGGGACTTTTTGCTGAGTCACTCTTCTGTGTCTCAGCACTTTTCAGGAAGTGGTTACTCACCACCTTCCTAAGGTCTCTTAGCTCTTTGTTTTAGAATATTTTAACATTTTATTAATTAGTTTATTCATTGTGTGTGTATGTTCTTGTACACACACACACACACACACACACACACACACACACACACATGTGCCTACTCTCAACATTTTCTCCCTCATACTGCACCTAGCACACAAGGGCACTTCTGATTATCATTTTACCAAGTGTTAAAAATGCACTTTCTTCCCTTGCAGGAGGCAGGATCCAGAGTGCATAACCTTCATGGCTCTTTTCCCTCTTTGGTTTTGTAGTTTGAGAAATGGAGTTTAACATACCCAACCAAAGACAGCGGACTATGTCAACAACAGGAGAAACTCTATATGAAATTCTTGGTCTGCGGAAGGGAGCATCTTGCGAAGAAATTAAGAAAACTTACAGGTACCATGGAAGTTCAGTGGGGACAGGTCCTGGGCTCCTGTTGGTGGTTTCTGGTGACTGGCAAGTGGTACCAACTTAAAGGCATAAGCTTTTTGCCAAGGCCAAGTGATCTTAATTTTGAACCCATGTTCTTCCCTGTTTTGTAACATTAACAGTTCAGAATAGACAGGCATAGCAGTAGTTTTTGAAAGAATTACCATGCGATGTCTAGCCCTGAGGAAAGGATAGTTAGTACTCTAGATTGGGAGAGGAAGCCATCAAGGACAAAGGAGGAAGGAAACCTAAGCAAATCAGTAGCTAAAGTTCAACCCCTGTGACAGGACATCACTGCATCTGGTAGAAAAGTTTGTCACCTATGCTTAACTGTCAATTACACTGTTGAGGCCTTTAGTTTTGATCTTTCCATAGCTGACTTGTCTTTAGTAGTTAATGTAGGGAAACACTAGAATACCATTTTACTTAAAATTCTAAGAAATAAAAATGCATATGAAGTATAAAATCGCTAATTTTAAACAATCAAAAGTGAAGATAATGTGCATCTGTAATTTTAGCTTAAAATAATTTTCATGGAGAGTTTGTTTCCTTCATCCTTTCCTGTGTAGATAAGACAGTAAAAGGTTAAATTGAATTTGTCTACAGTTTCCACTCATCTTTCTTTCTCCTAAATCCTGTAATGAAAGCTTCTTGATGTTATCAAGTATCCTGTTTTCATGACTGTAACCTATGGTTATTCTCAACGTATCTAGTCATTTTATAAGTTATTATTTAACATGGAAGCTTTTCAGTTTTTCTCTATGCTTAACATCCTGTATATAAATCACAGTACCTATTTCCTATTATTTCCTAATTGAGGAATAAAGACAAAATGAAGCAAAACATGATCATTTTAATCAGCACCTCTTGGTTTTTATCTTGAACTGGGTTTTTAAAATCTTAGTTCTTTTTAAATATATGGAATTTTAAAAAATTGAAATGAACAAATCATTAGTAATTTCTGTTATATCTTTGTCATACTTGTCTTGACTAAAACGCCTCTTTTGATTACAATATCATAATAATATCATCTCCTTTCTCCTTTTAGTACATCTATGATTTTGCTTTGATATTAAATCTTTGACCCTTTCAGGCCTTATTATGGTATAAGGAAAGATGCAGAATTCCAGACTTGGTTTTACCAAATCACTAGCCCACCAATATTTATTAACCTGTCCTATTCTGTCACTAATTAGACTTTCTTTGGCCCTGAGCTTTACAATGTGATGACCTATAGCAGCTCATGGGGCCTCAAGAAGCTTTTATAAGCGAAGATCCTTCAGGCTGCCATTTGGATCCAGTTTTTTGAAAATGACAGAGGCTGATTAAGGTCAATGCAGCTCTGCTAAGGCATATTTCACTTGGAGTGCTAGGGGCGGAGAAGTCTTTACTATTTCGTTTGGCACCATAGCTTCAGAAATGTGCCAAGCTGTGGCACAGTCCACAGATGATGAATGCCCTCTTTGGAACAGGAGCTGAAACTCTCTTCAGGCTAAGCTAGTTTGTGGGGACCTTGGGGATGAGAGTCAGAGCAATCGCATTTTAGGTTTAATAACTGCAAAAATGAGGAGTTAAGAATCTACATCAAACTTCCTTTCCATTCTTAAGGCTCAATTTAGAAATGTGACTTTTAATTGCCTTTATTAATTTTGGAAGCTGAGATTTCAGGTCATATCCTCATTAAGGCATTAATTATGCAGAGCTGCTTGCAAGTTTAGTAATCACAACATAAAGTCTTTTCATGTAATCAGTGTCTTGTCATTAATTTGGTTTTAATGTCAAACAAATATTATTTTTCAGCTGATTAGGGTACTAGCATGCTGCCCAGAGCATCTACTTCTACCTAAATTAGACATTTGTATTCTGCTAGTTATTCAAAATGTAGGAGCAGGCTGCAAATCCACTGAGAATATTATTCTTATACTCAGAGATCTGGATTGAAGCAGTGACAACATAGTGAAATTAAAGGCCAGTGAAATGTAATAAAATTACCAACTGTTGTTCCATATGCTGTTTGACCTCCATTATAATATCCAGTTGTCCTCTTGAAAACAAGATTGAGTTAGGAAGTTTCTTCTTTTACCTTTATTCTTATTTTTGAATAGATATTAGACAATATGTTCATTGAGTTAAAATAAAAACATGTTCAAGGTTGCCTCCTTAGGGGAAACAATACTTACTTGCACACCTTTCTAAAGAGACCTAATGCCTATATGAGCACATAGAACTTCTGGAACTAACTTCCTACTGTAGAACACCTCTTATTACAAACAGAGTCTCCAAGTGGAGGATGGAATCTCAGGCTATAAGATAAGACTGGACAAGGTGGAGTAGACTTATCTTTCCCTGCCCCTCCTGATATGCTTGGCTGCAGTTCTTGAGGATGATACAAGAAACAACAAGAGAACTCTGACAGCTAGAAGGGGTAAACTGACTGGTGACCTCATGACCGAAGGAGTAACAGCCACAGAGCATCCTGTGACTTTTCCACTCTTCACCCATCAGAAAGTAACCCAGGCAGGGTGTTTCCTCAATTCCTACCTGTTCTTCCAGCAGAATAAACCCAGGTAATCTTAATCTTTCCCCAACTTGAACACATCACCTGTGATGTTATTAAGCCCTGCATAATAGAAAGATTGTCAATTGAAAGTCCCTTGGCCATAAGGATAGGGAAGCACTTTTCGATCTTATAACCTGATACTCCCTCTCTGACTCAGAGACTCCATTTGGCAAAGGACACTAGCAAGAGTGGTTCTAGAGTAGCCAGTTCGTTCTGGAAGTAGGCAGCTAGTCCTGGAAGTGTGCTTTTGTCAAAGGAGCTTGGAGATTCCCTTCCCCCACCTAAAAGCACTCAGCCGAAACGAAGTCCCTCTCAGCTTCCCAGGTACTATAAAGAATGATGCCAGCAGAAAGGCTCATAAGAGGGTAGAGAGTTGCCTGAGAAGTTAAGAGCATTGCTTGCTCTTCCAGGAGACCCAGGTTCTATTTCCAGTATACCCATGGGTGCTCACAACTGGCTGTAACTCTACTTCCAGGGGAATCCAATGCCCTCTTAGGGCCTCGCATCTGACACACAGACATATAGGCACATACATACACATAAAACATACACACCCATACACATAAAATAAAAATAAAAATTAGAAGAAAGTCCCGTAGGTGACAAACTAGTAAATCAAAATAGCAGCACAAAGGCTCTGAAAATTAGATTTTCATTTGAACCATCTGCAAAAGTAAACTGAGACTTACAAGTTAAACCTAAGCAGATGACTATTTGTTATAATTTAAAAAAAATAACCCCAATTATGCTAAAATTACAGTCAAGATACCCAGACATTTTATATCACCTATCATAAAAGAACTAAGAAAGTCACAACTTGAATGAGAAAGGTCAGCTCCTGACTCTCATTCTGACAGGAGACACATACTGCAAGTAAAACTGTAAGGGCTTCCTGGAAGGACATAACAGGTCACAAATTATTGTGAAACAAATGAAACTGTAAAAAATGCAGGAATAAAAAAGCTCTAGAGTAAGGGATTACCATCCTACAATCCACACTGCCAGAGAAACTAGTAAACAAGGACGACCCTAAAAGAGACAAACTTTGTCCCCTGGAGAAGGGGAAAGGGTCACCATCCCCTGAGCAAATTGAGAACATGGGAAGAGGAGGGAGGAAGCTATGAGAGTGAGAAGGGAAGAAAAGGAAGGATACTGAGGTCATGAGGAAGCAGAAAGGTTGAGTCAGGTGTAGATTAGAAGAAAGGACATATGATAGGTAGGATTTTAGTTGGCGGGGGTGGTAGAGGAGGAAGGAAGGAAGAAGGGAACTGGGATTGTCGTGCAATTCAATCTTGTTTGTAATTCAAATATATAAAAAATAATAATAAAAGGTCAAAGAAGAACCAAATGGATGTATACATATGATATGTAGCAGAAACAGTGCTAAGAGGTTGAGCTGGGCAACAGTGGGGATGACTTAGAGCAGAATCCCTGGGTTTGAGGATGGATCAGTAAAACTTACCCAATAAGAACAACAGAGAGAAAATGAGTTGAAAACAGGCAAGTTTTAGGGATCTGTGGCTCAGTAACATTACTGTGCAGCATTGGAGTCTCAGGTGGAAAGGAGAGAAAGAATGGACTGGAGGAGTATTTAAGAAATTAATGGCTGAATCTCCCCAAATTTGGAAAAAAAAAAACTTTAAAAGTATGATTATAAGATCCCAAGTGAACCCAAATGGGCTAACAGAAGAAATCTAACTCAAAAGATAACAACATTAAACTTTAAAAAGTAAAACCAAGAAAGAGACTTGAAAGTAGAGAGAAACAGCATACTATCTACAGGGAAACACAACTTGAGTGACAGGCCTGAAACAACAGAGAATGGAAGGAAGTAGATGCAGCATTTTTCAAGGGCAGAAGGAGAACTGCAAATATGGCATCTCCTGAAACTGTGTTTCAACTATCAGGGGAAATTAAGGAAGTTAAGAAATCCTCAGACAGAAGACTTTGTCACTAGTAGATCTACTCATACACCTGTGAACATACACAACACATGCCACACACACATACACACACAAAAAAAAAAAATTGAAAAGAATCACTTCAAGAAGTTTTTCAAACTACCGAAAATAACAAAATGAATGTCATATTGTCAAGAGGAAATGAAGAAAGTTGAAATCTGGGTAAAATAAGACTACTGTCTTCATAAGATTCCTAAACTACAAACTATTGGATCAAAAGTTGCAGCACCACATGACACTAGATGGTCCTGGATGGCAGAGAGATTTACACACTTTACTAAAATCAGGAAACACTGATACCAGACTATTTGAGGACTCCCATCCCAAACTACTAAGACAACTATGTAATAACACTACAAATAGGTCAACATGCAATCCTTTAAAATGTTCATATAACCCATAGCAAGACAAAAAATAGAAAATAGGAGAAGAAATAGCAAATAGAA